CCCCAAAACCCCAAAACCCCAAAACCCCAAAACCCCAGGCTAGATAGATATGTCTTATATATTTATTCATTGGTTTTGTGAGAGATGATCCTTCATTCATTCCTTGTGGGCAGGGCAATATCACTTCTTGCACCTTTCTATGCTACCTAGAGATGAGGAAGGGAAGTACCAATTCCTATTTCCTGGATTCCTTCCTGATTTAAGCACACCGCGCATGTTTGGGGATGATAATTACACTTAGGGCAGTTTCGGAGGTGACTAATCATTGAAATTATTATCCCTTTAAGTGTTTTACATAAGTTTTCTTCAGGATTTTTGGAGAAAATGAGATCGAGCTGGCCCCACTATGAAATTACTTTCTCCACTTACGGTTAGGAAGAAGCCTTTTATCAACAAATTTTGGTATCCATTGACCTGGTAATTAAAGCTTGAGATACAGCTTTCGCTGAGTAAATTGTACACCTCGAATAGCCTTTTATTTGACTTTGACAAATTCTAGCAACTTTTTGTTGGTTACGAATAGCTCTTTTAGGCTGATAAATCTGATCGAGAGCAGGAATTTTGAGGCATTTTTACACACAGTTTTCTTTGAGAAATCCTTTCTAAGCAGCATTTCGATTGGGATTCTGTGCTTGATCAAAGATAAGCAGGATTTACAGACTTTATTATGGCAGAAGTGGCAATTATATGTTGATTTGAAGAACCAGAAGGATGATTCGAAGGGCCTCCTACATTCTGCACAGTATTCTTCATTATCAAGTTTGCTCCCTTCTGTCTTTTGGCGCATGAAACGTCTTCTTTTGGCAGCAGTGAATGTATCAGCCACAATATTCTGCTGGAACAAATCAATGTATAGGGCATATGAATTCCTGAAGATCTTTGAGTGGTCGTTCTTTGTAGTCTCCCTAAATGGTTTTACAAGGAAATCTTACCTAGGAGAAGTGCTAGAGAATTTGTCAAACTTCTTTTCTTCCTTATCACAGTTGCCAGAAAGGAAGGTATTGAGTGCAGTCTTGAACTCTAGAGTTTGTGCCTCGCTTTTGGACTTGTACCACTGACTCTCAGGAGTTAGAGTGGGTTCCTTGTTTTCATAATTGAGTAAATTCTTTTCTTCAGAAAGTGCGTATTCCACTTGATCGTCATTCTCAATGTCTGAAAGTTTGAACTCAGTGCATTCATTTATTTTGGGAAACTGATGCTTATAGACTAAGACTTGCGTGTCCTCTATATACTGGATAGATTTTGGATCAGATTTCTCTTCAATCTCGCTCTCATGCTTTGTAATGAAACTTTTAGAGGTGCCTTTCCGCTCAATTTTGACCTTCATCTCAGATGAAGTGCAACTTTCTCTAGATAATAAGCTATGAACCCCTACTTGACGAACCTGATTTGGGAATCTGAGGTGCTATTTGAGCGATCTTTGAGATTACTTGCTGGAGAATGACTGCTACTCTTCCTCACATAACTCTTGAAATCTCGATGGATTCTCCTATTTGAAGCTATGGGGGAGAAATTGAGCATTATTAGGAACAAGTCGTAGGCATTTTGCCAAAAATAGCTCTCTTTGCTATCATAGAATGTAGTCATGAGGTACTCGCTCTTAAGGATTGTGAAAAGGATATCTTTGAGTAACATTCTGTCCATTAATTGAATTCTAGAATATCAGGCTATCTGGCTTACAATGAGAGGGATTTACGCAAGTCTTCTGATACTTCTAGCCTATATACGGTTTATTCCTGTCTTCTTAAGCCTTCAGTAAGGACTTTAACGGTTCATTTGGCTTACTTGTTGATGTTTTCTACAGAAAAGGTAAATTTTAGGATGAAACAACCACCCTGAAAATAAGTTTAAGAATCTCCGAAGCGTTTATTAGCTTCAAAGTGGGCTAGGTTGTATAAAATATTACTATTGGATGGATTTCACTGAGATTTTACCTTGTCTTTTACACCATTTTGAGATAAAGTGGATTATTAAATGGTCTGAGAATAGTCATTCGATTAGGTCCCAAAAATTTCAGATTTCTTTGTCTTCCAATACTTCCATGATCAAGCTCTCTGGGTAGTGGATAGAGGTGAAGTGAGGAAACAAGCTACTGAGGGAGTAATGTAGCTTCATATACGCTCCATGTAGCCTATAGTTGAATTTTGTAGCATCCTTGACAGACTCAAGGGAGAAACTTTTAGGAAGTTTAGCGCTCATTTTCTTCATACTGATACTTTTGGTCCTTTTGGCCATCTCTTTTGGGTTAATTTCTGATTCTTCCTGCACGTTTGATCTGAACCCTGTGTTGAAAATTGAGTTGAACAGGAGAACAATGAGGTTTGTATCGTTCGGATTTGCGTAGATACTAGTGTTCTCTTGGAGATACAACAGGTAGTTGATGAGGTACTTCCTTTGACAACGGAGTTGGGTCGGACTTTCGAGTACTCAGTATATCTCCTGCTCACTCTTCTCGAAGTAATATGGGTCTGATATCTTCTTGAGTTTTTCCTGAAGGCTTTCATGGAGGGATTCCATTATTAATATAATTCTATGTATACTAAGATTGAGGGGTTTTGGGGTTTTGGGGTTTTGGGGG